TTCCTCCTTTCCTCCCTCCCTCCATCCCTCCCTCCTTCCTCCCCTCCCTCCCTCCTTCTATCCTCTCCTTTCTTTCTTTTTGCAGCTCTGTGTGCTGTCCCATAGAAAACCTGTCTCAAAGAAATTGTCTATAAAATCAAATATATTTGAAAGAAAAATGGGAAAGTGTGGGGAGGGCTATTTATTTATTCTTAAAGATTTTTTTTAGTTTTATGAATACAAAACTGGTGTACAGGCCAGAGGATTCACCAGAGACAAAGTGGGGAGCAGAACAGGCAGACTGACAAAGTACACTGCTGAGGGGAGCAGCAGTGAGATAGGAGAGATCTGCCCCCATGTGAACCTCCCCCACCCAGGACTGAGCCTGCATTGAAGGCTGTGACTAGCTTCACAGCACTGCACTTTAACCTGCTGCACCACCAGGGAGGGCCCCTAAAGTGTGTGTGTTGGGGGGGAGGGAGGTTAGATACATTACAAGTCACAGGAATTTATATTTGGAGGTAGACCTAAAATTCCTTTTAGTCTATGGATAATCTCACATTAACACATGATTCATTAAATATATCTGGGTTCTGTATTTCAGGGATAATTTATACCATGAAGAAAGAACAGATTTTTTTGGTTTCTGTATGTCTGCTCCTTAGCTGTGCCTCTACCCCTATTAATGCAATTCCTGAGGAAGGTGAAGAAATTACAAATGTCACAGGTAAAAGCTTAAAAGCATTCCTCTTTCAACTCATCTTATTCAAAGTTTTCAATTTTAAATATTTAACATATTTTCTACCCTGAGTGGGAAAATTAGTTTTCAGAAAAATGAAATATTTTCTTAAGAAATATGCTGCATGTAATGTGTTCAAAAACATAAACTTAGGCCCCCAAAAAGTGTCACAAGCAAAAAAGACTTTTTGTAAGATTGTAATATTAAACAGCGACAGATGACTGGGAAATTAATTGCAAAAAGCAAAATTCTGTATAAGTAACTGAATGTTCATGCCAACCTTTGGCTGTACAGGAAGAATAAAGAAAACATAGGTACCTGTGTTTTCAGTAACACTCCTTCTTGCCTTTATTTCCCATGAGTCCAGTGGGAGAACTTAGTCACACAGGACACTGAGAAGTGAGTGCTTAGCACATAAAGTGTTGAATATAAACACAAAATACTAACAACAATCAAAGAGAAAACTGTAGTGATTGCTATTACAGACTTATTTCTTTCTTGAACTTGATGTATGCCAAGTTACTAAATTCCTGATAGAAATTTCATTATTGATAACAATGGGAAAATATAACAAAGTGATAGGTTCTATTTATGTGTTTGACGTACAAAAGATTTCCATAAAAAAAAAACTTATTTCATATTTCCAACAGCTCTTTAATTTTGTTAAGTGTTCAATGTTGCTGTTGACAAAGAATACACACATTTTATGTGCCTGAAACAGGAGAAAAGGCCAGGGAGGCAGTGATGACAAAGACGGGGTTTCAAGACTCTTGCATTTTCACAGGGGACTCTAAAGGGTGGATAGGTTATTTCAGTAGAAATATGCTTTGGGCACTGCTGATGACACGAAGTGGGAGGTGCAAACATCCATGCTCAGCAATCTAAGAATGTGGCATTGGGATTCTGCTCAGTGCTACATACTCCACCACTGAGCCTGCACCCAAGAACGAGTCACCTGGGGAAGGTCTGAAAATCTGGACCCTGAACCACAGCTGCCAAGAAGGCTCCATCTAAATTGCCTCCAGATGGCTAGTAGAAGTGAGACGAAAACCTGGCTGCTTTCAAAAGACTTACTCACATTTGATCTCCTGTGTGAAATATAAGGCTTATTGTTCTAGATCATACATAATCATATATGTGTGTATACATACATACATATATATAAACACACACACACTTTTATATATATATATATATATATATAAAATAACATTCCATAGATGGAATGTTATGTAATAAAGTAAAAACCCAGAAGATGTCAAAAGAATGAGGAATCTATCAATCAAGGATATGATATATCCCTGAAAATTACCATAAGCCTTTCATCCAACATGCCAGGATAGGGGTGAGATTACAATCATCAGACTGTGAGATGCAAATGTAAGAGATCATTGATGAAACATGATTAAATATAGGCCACAATTGTATTGATCTGATTCTGTCAGATTAAAGTCCTGGTGATGGTCCATCCCTTCTTGTGCTCCAGTTTCCAGGCCTTAGGCAGATGCATGTCATTAACATTTGTTAAGTCTCAGCAAAATGATCCCTGATCCCTTCAGACAAGCTTAAGTATCCTATTATGCCTTCACACAATGCCAGAAAGTTCCTGAATGTTTCTGTAAGTCTTTAGTGTCTGCTTGTTCACGAAAGAGGGAGGAATACTGCCACCTACTTTATTATCTTAGCTGCCTTGACCTAATGTTCACTTTCAAAAGGTTTATCCAAGGGAAAAAATGCAAGCAAGACAGACTTTGATCCCTTTTGATCAGGTTCCATGGCAAGTGACCAACAGGACAGATTTGACACTCTCCCACTAGAGGAATGTGATGCCCCAGTGTGGTCCACACGCTCACTGACCTTGACATTCTAATAGTAAGGGTTTCATGTAAGAAATAAATGAAGGTTGAAAGGTCAAGAAAAATAAAAGCTAACTTAGCATTTTCTTCAGAAACGTGATGCAAAATCATCATGAGCTTTCAGCATTTGAAAACTTTTTTAGTATTTAGAAAATGAATTTTAGAGAAAAATAGTTGATGGAAATTATAAAACTGAGTCTATGTGCCTCACATAAATGCCAGTTTAGGCAACTTAACCATAAGACCTGTACCAATATCACTTAAGTTATTAAGAACATGTGAGATATCTGGTGTGAAACTTACATAGGGGTTAATTCTAATTTCTAAAGCTCTCACGGTGTGAAGCGAACAGAGCAATTAAATTTGGAAGTACTGTTTTATAATTTGTAAAATCATGATAACAATGCTTAACTCAGAAAGCACTTGCTATTATTAAATAACTGAATCACCAAATGTGTGGAGTACTTACTGGGGAAATATTAGACAAGCTACGCAACTAAGGGACCGATCTTCAATTTTGTGGTGCACTGGCACCACCTGGTGGTACAGGTACTAAATACCTGCTTTCCTTCTTGTTACAGAAAATGTAAAATCGTTAGTATGAAGAAAAAGACTACACAATATATTAAATTTGAAAAGTGGCAGAATTTCCTAAATGAAAAAAGAATCTGTCAGAAACTATTTATGTTTACGAAACAGCTCTTCTGAACATAAACATTAGCCTAGTTCACTCCCTGTCTTCTGCAGGTGATCTGTATTAAAGATGCCTGAGTGAAGGACTGTTTTCTTTACTTGTATCTTAAGTTCTACAGCAACAGTGATTTAGGAATCAGGGGCCATCCTATGAGAAGTACTATAGGTATAGTAACTATAGGATTAAAAATGTCAGATTATTTTTATTCCAAGATCGTGTCTCAAAATTACTTAAGTGGCTTTTTAGGTTCTGAGAGCAGTTTCTAAGTCTAGCTATTTTTAGAACTGACTGGGCAAATTTTTATCCATCCCTTAAATACGTATCTAGAGTGTACAAACACAAATGTAATGATATTAACTTAATGATGTTTACCAGAGGTCTGCTCTCGGTCAGATAATCTATTGGGGTCTTTGATACAAAACTTCCTAGTTTCTGAAAACTTGTAAAAAAATATCAGAATTTCAGCTGGAATATAGTCTAAATATTTAAGTAAAGAAAATATAAACTACATTTATAATTATTCATAAAATATTTCCTTTAATTTTTACTCAGAAAAAGCTTTCAAGTTTTTTAATACAAACTAACAACTGTAACTTCAGTAATATAGTGAAAATTATCATTTTCAAAAGTGATTTTCCATTTATATATTTATCTTTAAAACAATTTTCATCAATTTTTTAAAATTCTATGAATATATACCGTATTATACTGTGAATTATACTGACTTATAATATGAATCATGCTCTGAACATATAATTATATAGGAAAAGGTACATGAGTATACAATTAATAAAAATTTTAAAAATCAAGGAAACTTAAAAACATTTAGAGGAAATGATAATTCTGAAGTCACCATATTTTACCAGAAACTTTTGATGTCTTGTGACATCTTTTTTTTTTTTTTAAGATTTATTTATTTAAGCACACAAAACTGGGGTATAGGCCAGAAGTGCATGAGCGGTGATATGATTCACCAGAGACAGAGTGGGGAGCAGAACAGGCAGATCCACAAAGTACAATGCTGAGGGGAGCAATGGGCGGGTCAGGAGAGGTCTGCGGCGCCAGGTGGATCACCTTCCAGGCAGGCGGGGATCAAACTCATGGGGAAGTGGCTTTAGCTTCTTAATGCTGTGCTTTAACCACCATGCCACCAGGGAGGGCCCTGTTTTGTGACACCTTTTAAAAACCGATTATATTCCAGATAATGTCATGAGTTTAAAGTATCTAGAAATAATTAAAATGACAAATAAATGATATTTAAATTGATATATTATCAAGAGCTAGTTACTCAATTGGATAAATTTATGTTATGTATGTTATAGAGGTTATTTGCTTTTAGTGACATTATATGATTGGTACAACAATTATTTTTAAATATCATATTGCTAAATACCTAAATGTATTTTACCAAATACATTGAGAAAAGTTGAAACAAAAGAGAAACAAGAAAGTTGAAACAAAAGTGTATAGGTGCATGAAATTCAGTGCCAGTTAAAGATTTGAGGAGTATTGTTAACCACCTGCTTAGCCAATCATGAAAATTTGCTTGGCCCCCAAAATAAGCACTGACCTGTGTAGGGAAAGTTCCTATCTCACGTATCCTTTTCTGTGTTATCTTTTCATATATTCAGCTTCAAAATTTACTGTTCTATAATTTCTATCAATCAATGCATTTCAATTGAAAATACAGTCAATTGAATTATCAACTGTCATATTCTGTCTATTAAAAACAGACCTTTTAAATTAAAAGTTGCAATATTGGTTGAAATAAAAATCACATGCCCATAGTATCAAATGAATCAAAAACATAATACCAAATTTTTATAGAAAGCTGTATGTTTAAACCTTCAAGACTGCATGGGCTACTTCTCATTCTATCACTCATATAGAAAATAAAAATTTATGTTCCAATTACATTGCTATAAAACACTTTAACATTATTAAATATGACTAGTACTTGACAATAATTCAGTTCATATTATTAGGATAACAAAATATCAGAATAAGTTGGTAAAATTACTAAAGCCAGCTTTTATGGTACACATATTTTCATAATTTCATGTAAGCTTTGAAATTAAGGGTAATTTAAAATTGATTCATTTTGATGGTTGCATACCCACACATATCCTTCTTCTCATGTTTTAAAAATATTCTATGTAACATTATTAAAGTGACATCCATTCATTTTTATTCTGTCAACATAAATTATTATAGGGTATTTTCAGACATTTCTTTTAAAGCTACTTTCACTTATTACCAGTTTTGGTAGATCACTATTGTCCTCTAAAAAGCAATCTGTGTTAGGTTACTATAAGATTTCAATAGCCAAGAAAAATCATCCTAAATTTCCTAGTAATAGTTGATTAGTAAAAACTATTAAGTCACCTATCAAATTATCAAAGTAGTCAACTATTAAAGTTTAGTTAGTAAGGCCTTTTTGTTTTGGTCATTTTATTAACTTTATCTACTTTTAATAACTTTGAGTAAGTTTTCATGATGTTACAACCTTTTGATGTTATACTCAGAATGAGGACATATTTGAAAAGGAAGTGAAAAGGAAACAAGACCATTTTTGTTGTATTGATATCGGACTTTCTATTGTATCTTTTATTTGTACCTTCTAGATTCGGAGTTGCCATCACTGAAACTTACACATTCATTTTGTGCAATGAAAGCAGATGACGGCCCATGCAAAGCAATGATGAAGAGATATTTTTTCAATATTCAAACTCAGCAGTGTGAAGAATTTATATATGGGGGGTGTGAAGGAAACCAGAATCGATTTGAAAGTGTGGAAGAGTGCAAGCAAACATGTATAAGAGGTAGGTAATAGGGAGGCACATCACCCAGAAGCCTGATCATAGATTCAAAATTTAGAAAAAATGCATTAAAATGATTTTACATTTGTGTCAACATGGAGTTGCTAAATGAAAAAAAGCCAGAAGGAGAAAGATAAATACCAGATGGTGTCATTTATATGTGAATATAGAATACCACACACATAGGGTCAAACAAAGACTGACTATAAAACCAATCCTTGAAAAATGACCATAGGTCCTGAGACATACAGGAAGGGAAGAAGAGGGTGAGGAACGAGGGAAGAAGAGGGGGAGGGGTGAGGACATGCACAGCTATGGTGAACTCTGGGTGTTTTTGGTGGTGGGAGAGCTACGATGACCAAATCTATACTGTTAAAATGTTAGAAAAAATGTTAAACTTAGTAAATAAAAAGATTCATGAATTTTTTTCACATTCCCAGCACATATATTATTTTTCACTTTTATAATAGTATAAAATATTTTAAGCCCCATTTATTGACCTATACTTTTCTCCATCATGCAGATGGAAAAAACCTTTTTGTCCATACAGCAGGTTGTGTATCTTCAATAATCTGAGTGGCATTCAACTATGAGTGAGTGATTAACCACTCTGACTTAGTTTTTCCTTTATCAATACAATGATCTCATAGCTCTCCAAGTCCAGATAACAGAACTGAGAATTCACTTTGAGGCTCTCAACAGCTACCAAATAGAAAATTTTAAGCTGCATTTAAAAGTGTATATATATATATATATATATTCTTTCTAGACTTGGAGTTCGAAAATATCATCCTACTGATACAATTACTACTAAACTTTGTCAAACATTTTTATTCTGCTTGAAAGCTATTAAAACATATATTTTTGCAAATTTTACAAATTATAATGTATGTTCTTTTATCTTTTCTTACCGATAAATTTACTGGTATACATTTACTACTATAAACCTAAGTAATTACTGTTCAAAATTTTCAATGTTTTTATCTGTATGATTAATATAAATTGTGAACTACTAGAGGGAATTTTTATTTACTCAGTTACTCATCCCAAACTTCTCCATAGCATGTTCTTAAAATTAGTTGAATTGAATTCTAATGCCACAGAGATGGCATCTTTAGTTAGTAATATTAGGTGTCTTGTTTTTGCAAAGCAGGCAGCTCTGCATTCTCATTCTGATACAAAATAATTTTTACAAACTTTGTTAGCTATTGGCCTGTGGGAAAATGACTGTGTAGCTCTGAGATGGCAGATTGTGTGTTCCAACCTGATAAAAAAGAATTGATGGAATACATTTCTTTGATCTCAGAGCATTTACTCCCCTCTTCTTTCTATAGAGGTCTTAGAAATGTTTTTAACACAGGACCTTGCTGGTGATACAAGGAGTATGAAGCAATCTGCAGTCACTGCAGCACAAATTCAATCGCTGGCAGGGAGGTGACCCACATGGCACAGCAGACCTCTGTTTACCTGCCCGCTGCTCCCCTCAGCAGCGTACTTAATCAATCTGCTTGTTCTGCTCCCCACTCTGTGTTGGGTGAATTCTTTCACTCCCGCACCTCTGGCCTGTACCCCAGCATAAACAAACAAATCTTTAAAAAAAAAAAAAAAAAGAAATGTTTTTAATATAGATTAGCCAGGTCAGTGGTCCAGTGATCCTCTATGATGCCCTTGGGATTGCCTGGCCATTTTCCATTCATCACAGGTTTCTACATGCTGTTTCTGTTCATTCTGAGTCAGTATTCTTATGTGTTATTGATCAGTTGAATACCTTGGCTTAAGTGTCTGTTTGCCTAATTCTTCATAATCAAAAGAACAAAAGCAATTAATTATTTCAATTCATTATAAATTGTGGTAATTGGTATTCATATATTGTCTCTTGTAGATTATCCAAAGGTTAAATGGACAAAGACAACATTGAGAAAAGGTGAACATTCTTTTGTGTGCTATCAAAAATTATGTAAGGAAATTTAATTCAGATGTTGCTTGTCCTAGGCTAGATCACTACATTGTCTCTCTTTTTAAATCACTGATCTCTTCATAATCTCAGTACTAGACGAATTTGGCTAGATTTATCCAACTTCCCCTGAGTAGGGATGTGTTTGAGCTGTCAACAGTCTTTATGTCAAGTCAGTGTAGATAGTTAACACTAAGTTATTACTTAGTATATGCTTATTTAGTATATGCTTATATATTTTACATTTTGTTACTTAACCTATACATTTAATGTATTTAGTAAAAAGTAATTTTTGATGATAATATCAGCACAAGAATAATGTTATCAACAGATCAAGGAAGCAATCCTCCTCTCACTAAAGTTGTAGAAGCTTGATTTTACCCAATTACAAGTTATGGAAATTACATCTGAAAGAGAAAATTTTTGAACAAAGAGATTAAATTATTTACCTCAAGCCATGGAAGAGCTATAAAATTCAGAGTATGTTTAATTTTACTCTTTGATTTAGTTGTGATTTATAAATTTACAGTTTATAAATTCAGTGGCAAAGCATGCATAAACATAAGCAAACATAAGCAAATTTATTGACTGACTTGTTTCTGAATAGCCTAGATATTAATCTTTATAAAAAAATGCTTGATAACTCAACTAGATGAACCTCACAATTGTAATAATAGAATATAGCACATTTCCAAATAGAGTTTTTGTGGCGCAAATAAAAGATAGCTTCATGAGAGGAAATACTGGGGTTTTTTTCCCCCAAAATTCAGACTAAGCAAAAAATTATATGAGATCAATTATATGATTTATTTATGCTATTTATTTATATATTTTTATAATATGATAATTATATATTTATAATTACATTTATATAAGGTAAATGCACTTAACTGTTCTGTAATATAACATATATTGATTCAGAATTTAATCATTCTTTATTGCTCTTATACATAAATGAGAAAAAACTGTGAGTGCTCAGATGCTAAAACCAATCTATAATTGGTTGGTTTTCTGCAGACCTCACTAAAAATACCAATTTGAAGTTAACTTGATGTGATTCCTAGCATCAGAATCTAAGCAAGATAATGGACAATTCAAGTCTGAAGGAAAGTTTGGTCTAAGACAATGAGTTGCCAAGGGAAGTCTGTGATGTGTGGGGCTGGCATGTGGCTTAAAGTCTTTGTTCTGCCTGCTCAGTTTTAACTGAGCATCATTTCAGAGCAAGAAATTAATATGCCGACTCATTAAGAATGCTACTTTATTTACTCTGAATACAAGGCACAGGTTTCTTAAATTGTAACAGTAAGTATTTTAAACTGTATACCTATACAGAATCATTTTATATGTGAACAATTTCAACTTTATCCTAAAATAAATTGATGTCCTAAAATGTTGCCTCATATAAAAACAACAATTTCCATTTGTACATTTTCTTAATTATACTTTTCCACCTAGTTAGTTACCATTTTCTTTCTGTTCATGAAATAAGTTTACCCGTTCCTCTTAGTTAGGTATAAGACTCATATATCCTCTGTTATAATGACTTGACATTTTATAAGAAGTACTTACTCATATAAAAAAAAAATCAAAATGTTAACAATTATTTTTCCACTTCCTATATAAAGGTGTTACAACATTTAAAGAATTTATCCTTGTCACATATAGAAAACCACACCTTATTACTATGGAAATAATGGCAGCATTCATCTTGAGAAAACAAGGGATACCAAACAAAATAAATTTCAAATTGGTACTTCAATAAGTTGGCAAAGTAGGTACTTACAGTGGCAGGTTTTATTAATAAAGTAATTTTTCATAAGAGATTAGCTTCTGCAGATCTGCAACTGTTGCAGAAATCATTAACATTATTAAATGCCTGCTATTTTTATTAAAACACTGCTGAGTATTGCTTCTCTGAGACTGAAGATCAAGTTGCTTTAAGATATGAAAACAACTACAACTCATCTTTGTCACTGTAGTAACATAGCTGCAGAGGGGGAAATGTCTTTTACAATTATATTTTCAAAATAAATTCAACTCTTCTCTTCACATAGATGTTTACCTGTACAGGAAGCTTGTAACGTAGGTCATGGTGACACAACTTTTACAGCAGCCTGTTTAGCCTGGTTTGGAGGACTATCAAAGAATGGGTATTCAACTTTTACAAAAGCCTCTTTAATCCATGAGCATGTATTTCCTTTCTGCTTCTGCAGTGTTGGAGTCATTCCAATGTCTGAGAGAAGAAAAATAAGAGACACTGCTAAGAGATATAATCCATAGCACAGACCAACATAAGACTTCAGGAAATTCTAAGAATAGCCACGAAAAACATTCATACTCCTCAAAGCTGCTTCTCCAATTTTTCTAATTGAAACCATTCTTATAGAGGCAACTCATTATATTCCTTTCCCTAATAATAACCCACTCCTAAAAAGTAAGAAATAGTCATAGATCTTCCCTAAGTATAAATACATATATGCTTAAAAATATGAAAGCCAAAATTTTGCAATAATATTTTATACTTCCCAACTAGTGCAAAACAGCCTCATATAGATTTTATTCTCTTGATTTATAAAATGGTTGACTCCCTATTAATTTACTATGAGAAATTTAGAACTTGAAATTTCAATAGCAAAAAAAATGTGTGACTAATTTAGTTGTATATTCCATATTCTAAATGTTACAAGAGATAGAGTAGATAATTTTATTATTGTATAGCTGTGGATAGTTACATTTTAATATCTTTAAACATTTCTCATTTACTCCTTAAATAGTTTCTACTTATTAATTCATTTACTTATAATAACTAAATTGTTCGCAAAGATTAATATTGCTTTCTAACCTTTTCATAATTTCTAGAAAAGCCAGATTTCTGCTATTTGGAAGAAGATGCTGGGATCTGCAGAGGTTATATTACTAGATATTTTTATAACAATCAATCAAAGCAGTGTGAACGTTTCAAATATGGTGGGTGCCTTGGCAACCAAAATAACTTTGAGTCACTGGAAGAATGCAAGAACACCTGTGAGGATACATGTAAGTTTATTTCTCATCACATTTTTCTTCACTTATATGCATTCTTTTAAAAATAAGTCTCCTAGGGAATGTTCAGACTTATCTAGACTCTGCTTCAGCTACATAAATAAAAATACATTTATATTCGCTAATCTGATAGAAATTAGTCACTAAGTAAAAATTACATAAAACAAAATAGTCCAGATAACTATAGAACTATTTCTGTAGATCGTATTTGATTTTTTCAAGTTACATAGTTTTCCTTTCCTAGAATACGTAATTTAGGCACAAGATTAAGACTGCTAAAATTCCTTAAGCTTATAACAATTTGAGGGCAAATAAATCTTTGGAACCTGTAGTCTAAACTTTATTGGCCATAAAGCTTTTCAACTGAGTGGCATAAACATTCACCATGACATTTTTTCTGACCAAGAATGACTAAGTTATTTGGGATACAGATGTAAGTACTGATCTGTATTTATTTCTACCCTTCACAAATTTAGCAAATGCAACTTGTTAAATTTAGTAATGTGAATATATTTTCTAGAAATCCACTTTTGTCAACACAACTGTCATGCTTTTTGTGTATGAGCTGAGAAGTTCTATTGTAATTCATTGTTTTTCTCCAGTGAATGTTTTGCAGGTAGATGATTACAGAACCCAAGCTGATCCTGTGCGTAATGACTCAGTTAGTTCACAGCCTACCACGGTCCCCAGATTATTGGGTAAGAATCTCATTTTTTATTGCTGCCAGAAAATATATCATCATGGTGACAATATAAGTGGAATGTACATTAGCACTGTACTTTAAAAATGTGTAGATGTTTTGTTTTTTTAGTTGCTGAAATCTTAAAATCCAAAAGATCTAAGAGCTTTAAATCCATAAAAGTGAAAATTTTACTCTTCTATTTAAAGTATGCTTTCAAGTAGATTTCTGATTACATATCACATGAATACTTCCCTCTGATATTAACGCTGTGCAAAAATTACCATATAAAGTGATGCTAGGAATTATCAGCTGCAATATCTGATGGTAAATCACTGTAATGGCAGTACTATGTAAAAGCCAAACTCAAGTAGCCTTAAAATGAGCAAGGCATTGGCAAGTTTCTCTGGTCTTAGTCACTGAGCAGATTAGGAATTTGTAAAATAAAAACCAATCCCAAAAGTTACATCATGCAAAGGAATTCTATTTTAAACTTCTGCAGAAATCTCTTCTGGGCTTCACCCTGTCAACATATATAGGAAATTTAAACAAACATACAGAAAATTGCCCACAAAAAAAGGACAACTGGAAAAATACTGTGAAAATCCTAGAAAATCAGTATGAGAAACCATACCGGTCTGAGCAGTTAGAAACAATCCAAAGCAAGTGAAACCTAATAGGATAAATGTAAGGTCCTTCCTATATTTACAAAAATCACATGGCTCGCTTGAGAACTGGAGATTTTGTTTAGAAGCAGTTCCTGTCAAAGTGTTGAGTAAACTTGGCATGAGTTGAAAGAGTCCTTTGGCTATTAAAATTATAACTGTAGGATATCAAGGGACACGGTGTTTGGGTCACAGATACTCAATCCTGGTCATACAGCAGAATTAGGTGAGTTTCAGAACCAGAATATCTTTAGTCATCTCCTTACAGCCAACAAATAAAAGCAAGCAAGTAGACAACCCCCTGGGTAGATATAAAGCACTGGAAATGTTACCCATGACTTAACTAGAGAGGGATGTAAATATCCAGCTTAGGCTCATAGATAGGTTAAGTCTGTATGTTTTGCTTCAGCACTGAACATCATACTTAGAAGTCATAAGAATGGGCACTAAATGTGTAGAACTGGAAACTAGCAGAAGACATGTGGTCTTAGAGGGTGGGAACATTACATATGCTGCCACTACTAGTAACACTACCACATAAAAGGAGGATTAAGTTTCCCATATGCACCGTCCTTAGCCCACTCCATGTCAATTCCTCTGACTTCCACACTCTCCCTTATCTCGCACAACCAGCCTAAGAATCAGGATTAATGTGCCATAGTAAATATTTCTCTCTGTCAAATGCTTACTTTTGATGTAATATTTTTAAAAACAGATAGATGTCCCCAGGGATTAAATTCCCTCAAGTGCAAGCGTCCTCAGCAATGTTCTAATAGCCTTCACAAAGGGCTTGCAAAGTTTTTCAATAGTTGGAAAAGATGGTATATTTGAAATGCTTTCTGCTACTTTGATTTATAGTTAGAACAGTAAATACAATGTCAGCATGAATTTGAGTCAAAATTTAAAACGTTACATTGTTTACAATAATGTTGATAAGTAGCTGTAGAGTTCTGCTTTTTATATATATAATTAATTCCATTGCTTTGTTTCTTTGTGTCCTTCTAGCTTTGTGTCTTTCAATGACATTTTGTTTTACCTGATTAAATATCACATATGGAAAAGCATGTTAATCATATTGCTGTGAAAGATGTAAAAGTTCAGAGTGACAAATTTATTAGTGGTTTGAATGAAGCATGTAATACAATATATCTGCAAATAAAAATATAAATGAAATCAGTTTTGATATGTTTCAATATTTTTGGCTTGGTTTACTTTACCAATTCGAATAGAGATCTTCAATCACTTATATATAAAATGAAATATAAAATTCATGATTTTTGTCATGCACTCTACCAAAATAGAAAAGAGAAATAAAATAAGTGAGAAAGTAAATGAATTTCATATACTATATAATCCTAAAAGTTTACACCATTGTTCACTAAAAAACTGTAAAAAATTAGTGGTTATAAGAGTAAATTACGAAGGAAGAAATAAAATTCAAAATATGAATTTAAAACAATTTTAAAAGTATTCATATTTTAAGTAATAGACATATAAAGGATAATTCTTTCATATCAAATGCACTTAGAGTTAAGGAAACTGGTCTTCATTATCCTATCAAACTATTTTATCTTGTACTTCACATATTTGCTTCAAAATCTACTTTCTTCTAGCTAACCAGATGACTTTTACACTTTTTTTGGAGCATAATATATCCCTTTCTTTTTCTTCTGTTTTAAGCTTCCTAAGTTTATGTTACAATCCTAAATGTTATAATAGCTACTGTGAGAAGTTTGAGATGAAGAGGGGATAAATATACAGGGCGACAATGAAGATCTGCCTTCATCTCCTAAACCTACATGATCCCTTGTCTGCCCATCCAAGCTGCAGGATGTGGGGATGCAGCTGTTCTTCTCTGTTACCTAAGACCTCAATGATCCCCTCTTCATCCCATTTAAGTGGCAGAGAGCATAGGAAGGCAAGTGGGCCCCATGATCGTTAACCCTAGATCACAGGCCTTTGCCGAGGTCTACAAAGACACTCTTGACATTACAGCTCAAAAGTAATTACAACTGTTAAGAGTAATTATGTCAATAGGTTCTATTCTAATTTAAGAAAATATAGTTCTATGTTTATGTAAAACATTGTTTAAGGTGTTAGCCAAAGTGTAATATTCTCTGTGGTTAGGCTTTATTCTGATTTAAAATTTTTAGTATCTCTGAAGAGTTTTCATGCTCTCAAATAGCCTGACAGCCAATTTTCATCATTCATACAGTGAATTTACAGATTCACAAGAAAATATTACCATCTCTTCTGCCTCTCTTTGAAGATGTAATTACATGTAGAGTAATATCGCAACCATGGCAATTTTCTGGAGAGAGAATATCCCTCACCAACTAATAGCTACATGCATAGTAACATACCGCAGTTAATCACCAACACTGTCACCAACTCAAAAACCCACTGATAAAAACTTATGTGCATATTCCCAAAGAAGTATCTGTTCCTCAAAATGTGTTCTCAGAACAAAAAGCACAGACTCTTCCCCTAACTATCTAAGTATATATGCATGGTGAATCTGGTGCTTTTATATGCTGATTTTTGTGACAAGCTGACTTTCTAAAAATAGATAACCACTTTTGGAAAGGATCCATCAGAACCTTCTACTTCCTGGTAAGAACACTGGTGAGAAGCAAAAATGTAGCACTTCACCTCTGCCAAGGCTGCAGCCATCCAATGCAGTCACCCGAGGTGACACTGCCTGCTTTTGCTAATCCCTTTCTTCCTGGGCCAGCTCTGGTTTTAACAAAGATAATTTTTGCCCTGATCCTAGCACTCCTCCAGAGAAGTATTTCTCAGCCATAAATAACACATGGAAAGTATAAAAAGAGAAAATCACTGACTTCTAATTTAAAGAAATATTTTAAATGACATTAATTTTATATGAACAAGTACAATGATAGGAATAAATGCCTTATGTGTGTGTCCTTTATACAACGATACATGAAAACTTACAAATTACTACAATACGTACTACAAATAAATTAATAATGCCAATTAAATGGCACCTTTCTTTCATTATATATTAATTTGGTATTGAATACCATAGGAAGGTTAAGAATAGGAAAAATAGGCTTGAAAATCCTGAGTTGGCCTATATTATATGCCAACTACTTGAACATGAACAGTCTTTGCAGGGATGAGCTCAGGAAGCATTGATTAAAAAGTGTGTGGATTAGGGAAGTTCTGTGTTTTCTATGGACAGAGTAGAATGAAGTTTCTGCTTCTCTTTCATTTCTTAATGTTATTAAATGAACCAGCCAGATCAGTGAAAATATCAGAATGAAGAAAAGCCTGGAACTTGTATCATTATTTCTAGAATTAGTTCAGATTGAACAAGTCAACCAAGCTCAGGACTGCTATTCCTAAGACATGTTTCCTTGTTCAATGACCTATTTGATTAGATCTTCTGTTCAAACTTGATAAATTGCAATTCCATCCATGTCACTATAGGTAAGACTTATCTCACACATTCTGCACTTCAGCTTCAGTAAAGAGAGAATTAAGGAATCTCATATAAAGAAACTGTGACAACTTTCTATTTATCTGACAATTATTAAATATGTTTATTCACACCTTTCTATCCTATCTTGTTTATAGCTGGCATATCAAAGCAATCAAGAGTGCTGGTTTAATGGAAGATGACTGTGCATTCAAATTTCGGTTTTGCTCTTTGCTCTGTGGCCTTGAAAATATTACACAGCCTGTCCTCAGATTCTCATTTGTCATATGTGAAGAGTAATAGAATAAAAAAAAATTGTGACTATTAAATAACACATATGAAATCCTGAACCCAATTTTTAGTGTATTATAATATAACAGCTCAAAATAACTAATACTTTTTTATAACCATGATTACACAGTGTCAACTGTGACTTGAAGTAGGGAAAAAATAATCAGAGATTTTGTGTATATTGTGTACTGGGATCACTCTAAAACTTATTACCTAGTAGTTCTAAAATATAAAATATATTTAGCAAAAAAAAAAAAGAAAAAAAATATATATTTAGCAATATATTTGCATTACAGAGAGGAAATCACTGTCAATATCCTAGATATTTCCTTTAACATCTCTTTGCTATTTTTGTTTGCCAACTCATCACAAAGTAAATAAAATACAAAGATATAGAAGTAGCTTCTATAGGAGCTTCAACAGGATAGAATAAGCTCAATATAAAATAATATAGGAAACTTCTGGGTGACAACCACCCTCACTATCTGCTAAAACCATTCTTGTAGTCATCATTTTTCTCAATGATTACAAACTCAGCATTTTTTTTCTTTTTTTACATTTTAAAAGGAGAGGGTATTAGGAAAAAAAGAAAGAAAAATAGAGGCATCTGGATAATCACAGGGAGGCAGAGAGCTCCCTTTCAGCTTTTGATTCATTGGAATGTAAATGTAAATGTTTCATTCCATTCCCAGTTGTGTCTGTGTATATATGTGTGTTTGTATATGTTTAAGTTTGGACAAATTATAGTATTTTATTGAGTCTAAGATTCATCTTTTCCATATTTTGACATAGTTAAAATCATGATGAAGTATACATCTAATAGTGTACAGTTGTGTGATTGTGTGACTTTCTTCTTCCTCTTTAAGCAGTGCATAAATTTATCTTTAAATCAATGGCATCTTAAGTTCTTTGTAAATTATATTTTGCTGATCATGTGAGTCTTATGAGCAGTTATTATTCCTGTATTATACTCTTCCCTTTTTGAATGTATGAGTAGAGGAAAATAACAATAATAAATAAAATCATTGTAGTAAGGTTCACATTTTGTTAAACAACTTTTAGACTCTTTTAAACAGAGCATTTCCAACATTACGACTTGAATATAGCTCTTGCACAATTCCAATTCTAGAAATATCTCATCTAGGAATATTTTAACCAGTATACAAGATGGTCATAGGCCATTGTCTGGAATTAAATAGAAATCACCTTGATACATGAGTATTGAATATGCTAAATGCACTTTACCAAGTGGAATACTTTAACTATTCAATGCATATATTAAAAAGAATAAGGTACACATATGAATAAATGTAAAAATGTATCAACATAGTATTACAATAAACTTTTGCATAGCATACACAAATAACTGGGAGGATATAGATGTATATATATATCCAAACATTGATAATAGTTTAAGGGTAAAATTACAAAGCATGTTTATTTTATATTTGTTGTACTTTTGTGCTATTCAACATTATACAAAAAAAAGGTAATTAGAAGTCAAATTTTTTATCTTTTCATCACTACAAAATTATGGGGAAAATTATTCAACTCCCTGAAGCAGTCTCAGAAGACAAAAGACGTATTCAACAAATCATGAGGCAGTTCACAAAACCTAAGTGAGTTGGTAAGATCAAATCTAAATAGGTATGTAAAATGAGAACAACAGGAGACAGCATAAATATTCAGAGGGAGTATAAGATTTTAAGATTATTGTCTAAGTTAACACAACCACTTTACATAGAAAACAGACTTTGGAGCCCCACTTTACAGTTAAGCAGTCATACTATCAATAAATCATGGCAGTTCCTGGGAGAAAATAAGTGGATTCTGAATCCTGAAACCTGTCATAGACACTTAAATGGAAGGTATGCAACTTCTTGTTAATGGCAAGATCAAGACACAACACATATGGTGATTAAAATCTCTTTGGAAAATAAACAAGTCAGGTTAGTGCCATTTTCTTCTACCTGAAATTTCTGCAAACAATTATAATCTAGACCAAAAATCACATGGGCAGCTACTTCAAATTTTTTATATTTTCTTTCATTGTAGATATCAAAGTCTGGAGTTTGAATAGGTGAGTGTTATGTTTATCTAGGATAAATATGCTAACCAAAAATAGTCAAAGTTATTCCTCGTGGGATGCCAAAATTTCAATTTCCTCATTTTTTTTTCAGATTGAACTAGATGATAATCAAGAAATCAAAAAATCTTAGAGCTATAGTGTCCTTGAGAAACCACCTGCTTTATTATTTTAATTCTATGATTGTGTATGCTAGGAAAACTCAGTGATAGTTTTTCTACTTTGCGTTAAAGTGTACCTTTACATGTCAGGTATACTTCTCATGTTTCAAGAATAACGGCCTTATAAAGACTTCCCAACTGATAATTTATTAATTTATTAAAAACTTTTAACAGCTAACCACACATATTACACCATATTTAATGCTTAACTTCAAATTTTAACTATCAAAATAACTTTATTTCTAATGTAGGAATTTTGGTAATTGATCTGAATCAAAGGTGAGAGGGGCTTGATGATCTCTGTACTGATTAAATCAGAGCAAATTAAGTGACACAGACAACAGCTATTGCCAGATCAGTCAGAGACAGACATTTTTTGATTCAGAACAGGTATTTAGTTAAGAGGAACAAGTAAAGTCCGAGTACCAGAAAGTAGGCTGTCAGAAACCACAGAGACTTCCATGTAGTGCCAATCATACACCTTGAACAGTTCAACAAGTAGTGAAATAGTCTCTGATGTCATCTTGTGCTGGTCAACTGTCCATTCTCTAGCCAATCCCCTGCTTTTCTCATGTCCTGCCCATGTGATAGGCAACTCTTAACCCCTTGACTTCTGAGTGGACTGGGGCAGACATTCTTGGAAGACTAGGTAGCTAGAGACAGAAACTAGAGCTCATTTCCCCTCCAAACCTATGTGTATCTGACATGGTTTCAGGTACCACTTTAGAAACCCCTTTTGGTTCTAGCTTTGAACTGATAGTCGAGGCTCCCTATTTACCATAAGAGAGGTTCATCATTATCTCCAGCCTAGGAATTTTAGCTCCAAATGGACCAGGTTAGCTTGCTCTCACATTGCAATAGCCTTTATTTTGTAATGAGGCCAAATATAGGTTGTGAGCTAGAGGGAAAAAAAAAGATGAGTTTGCTACCTTTCAAGAGAAAACTCTGTCCTGAAATTGGAAGTTTAGGAAAATATTGCTTTTAAGACATACCTAACACCTTTTCATATACTTATGTGCAATTTGCTATAGGCTAATACAGTTAGTATATGAAATGCTCACATGAAATTAACATATAAACCATATTTCACCATACTGACATCTCTGCTATGAAACATCTTGTGCTTGCTGAGAGTCAAAAATAAAAAACCAAATTTCCTCAGTTCTCTGCCTCTCTAGTCATATAGTTGTGGTGAATTTTTTTGTTTGTTTTTGAACATAGGTGAAAACTTTGGAAGCTCATGAAGACAAAAGTGGTGATGACAGATAGACATGTATAAGTTGGAAACCCACAGCACACACACTGAAAAAGCATGAAGAGTAGGATTCCATTACAATGATACATTACAATGTATATTTTCTGGATAGTAGAACATTTCTGTTATAAAAAAAATTATTGGTGACAAATTTCAATATTTTCTAGTTAAGTACATATTCTCACCAAATACATTTTAAACTTATGAAGGCAACAGTCATGCCTTATAACTCCATAACAGGATGAGCTAAAAGATAATCTAGAACACATTATTTGACTGTTTTAGTTTCAATGATCCTGGAAAGTCTCTAGAAATTACAGACCCATTTATAGACCTAAATAAATGAAACTTAGTATTCTTTGTAATTAATTCTTGATTTTTATCACAAAATAACATCAACGTTCTAAAATTTATTTTCATGCATTCTTCCCTTAGTAGTCTTCACTCTTTCTTGTATATTTTCCAGAATTTTTTTTGCTACACAAACCATTATAATGTTTATTTCAATGTCTAGAAGACAGAGGAGGTAAAAAGAGGTCTATCAGTTTAAGATCTTTTTCTTTTTTTTGCACAAATTGTTTCATTGCATTCTTCTTTTAGTCTTTTCATCTGTGGTTCTCAAGTCAGCAGCTTCTTCTTGCTTTCTGAACAACCTATTTGTCGTCATTGGCTACTGTATTCCTCAAAGTTCTATTTTCTGCCAATGCTGAACATTTAGCACGTCATCTTTGCATTTGTTTTATTACTCATCTTTGGCAGAGACACTAAAATGTCTTATACTGATTCTTCATCATCCATCAACAAAGCTGCAGAATTTAGCTCTGCTATTAAAGAATGTCAGCTTTCTCTTACTAACAGGAATACCTGAAAGAGCTAAATACTACCATTGTGCATAACTATTGTGGCCCAATTAAGTACGGTAGAGGGAATGAAAACAATTTTATTTCTAAAAAGGAAGAAAATAAAGTACAGTATACAAGTCAAAACATGAGGAGGCGGTTTGGATTGATGATCTGAGTATTCCTTTTATCATCCTAGGAGTAATTTTTCTTCTTTTTTTGAAACTGGTTGGTCCTATTGACAGATTAATCTTATCTGTTGAGTTTAATGAATCTGTAAATGTTCTGTATTATTGGCTTTTGCAATATTCCTTCTCAGCAATTTCTAACTCATCTAGAACTGATGCTTCAATTCAAGAGAAAAATTCAGTACTAAGTAAAATTTATTATTAAGTAAAAACTTAATTGTTACTGTTCTGGTTCTTTAAGAACTTGCTACATCTGAATTTTTGTGTTTAAACTTGTGATTATTTTATAACATTCTGAACTTTTGTAGTCAAGAAAAGAAACTTCCTTTGCTTCTGTTTTTGTCATACAATGAATGAGGATTTGACTTAAGACTTTTTTGGAAGTTTTTCATGAGCAAATGAGATGTAGCCATAGATAATTTTCTTAAATGCCTATGGCTAATAAACTTTCAAAGGTTAAATTGTTAAGTGTGGTTGTTTTTATAGGAACAAATTAGTTGCATACAGCGAGAGTAATCATAATATGTACTTTCAGCAGATGTATCTAATTTTTAGTTATCGGAGAAAAGTGTCCAAATAAGAAACACTTCAGAGAATAGTTAACCATTTTGGTGGAAATGAAATACATTAATTTTACTAAGTACTACTTTAATTCATTCAGATTACTGTGCTACAGAAACCTGTAGAGCTCAGATAAATTATCATGTATGACTTAACATGATTTTTTTTGTTCATAGGATTTGATGGCCCCTCCTGGTGTCTGACGCCAGCAGACAGAGGACTGTGTCAAGCCAATGAGATCAGATTCTACTACAATTTAGACATTGGGAAATGTCGTCCATTTAAGTACAGTGGATGTGGAGGAAATGAAAACAATTTTATTTCTAAGAAAGCCTGTCTCAAGACTTGTAAAAAAGGTATAGAGGACATTCTTTCCACTCTAAATTAGCTTTTATAGTAATGTATTAAAATTATAAATGAACTTTATACTTTGTAAATGCTTTGAAAGTGTTATAATTCAATTAGTATTCCCTTTTCAACTACACTTAGCTAATATTGCTGGATGGTTTAACTGCAGGTTTTTGTTTTTTTTAACACATCTTCATATAAAGACAATCAGTTTTTAAACAAATCAACCTTCTTCTAATATTTACATACTAAGCTTTGATTTTAAAGTATTATACCAAAAGATATTGAAGTTTTCTTATAATGCACAAAATTGTAATGAATTTTCATCTGAAAGGAAAAATGGTGTATTTAAAACAGAGTAACATGTAAAAAAAAATCTGTAATTTCACAAGTCACACACAATAACAAAACACTTTTTAAATGAAATTAAAATGAATTTCTTACTAAAGATGATTAACAAAAAAACAACTGGCTTATCCACTTCCTTAGAAATATGTTATTCTGCACATAATAAAATAAAATAAAAGTTATTTAAAATAAAATAAAAATAAAAAGCTATTTAAACCAATTACATATCTTTGGCTTAAAACCTGAAAGTTAATTTGAGCAAATGTTAGATAAAATATGTTGTTGTGTTACTTTATCATGTATAAATTTGCTTCTTTTCCTTTCCTAGGTTTCATCCAAAAAATGTCAAAAGGAGGATTAATTAAAACCAAAAGAAAAAGAAAGAAGGAGTCAGTAAAAGTACTATATGAAAAAATTTCTGTTAAAAATATATAACTTTATATTACTCAATATTAATTCTGCTAAATATTTTAGATAAAACTTTTCATTATGTTTTCTAATATTGTCTTCAAATCCTTTTGAATTATATTTTTATGACTTTTCCATGTTTATATAATCTACTATAAATACATTTTGTATCAGAGTTGCTTCTCTAATCAAATTGTTTATTCTAGGTATATAACTTATTAACTGAGTACTATGAATTAGCCTATGAATTTGTTACCTTGCTATTTGTTACTTAACTAAAGATTACCATCCCAATGAACACATCAGATGAATTCATTTCTCATCTACGTGAGACTATGTTGTCACTTAACTTGTTTTGATCATATATAGATAATAACCTCCCGATAGCATGTTCCAAGATTAAAAGAAACAACTATTTTACACCAACCTCTTTTGAGGTTTTACCTCTAAAACAATGAAAAGCACCTTCTGATAATAAGCACTCAATTGTGCATTTGAAAACTGTTTGTAATAACAAATCACATGCTACATTCACTATACATACTTTACTTCTTTCTGAACTAACCAAGACCGATTTCATCCTTCTATTTTTTAACTTCTATCACTCTTGACTAAACCATATTTGAACAGAAAACAACAACTCTTTATCATCTGCCTGGATGATACTCTTTTTAAAAATAAAAATTTTATTGTACTACCATTGTTTACAATACTACATACAGTTTGATAGCACAATTCCTAGCTGACAATGTATATATGTCTCACTTCATCCACAACCAAAATCCCAGTACCTCCTACATTATCAAACTGACTCACTAAACCATTCCTCTGGCCATTCCTCCTTCCCCTCTGCTATCAAAATATTTTTCTACAGTCTGAGTCATTTTTATTGTGTTTTGTCATTTGCTTTATTTATGTTACTATAGATGGGAGTAAAACCATCCAATAATTATTTTTTATTACAAAATGTATTTAGCTTTAGGTCTCCCTGATGGTACAAGGGTTTAAGTCTCTTCACAATGAAGCTATAGGCAGCCACTGCAGCATGAGTTCCAGCCCTGGCCCAGAAGCAAACCCACATGACATAGCAGACCTCTCCTATCTTACCCACTGCTTGCCTCAGCAGTGTATTTCATTCAATCTGCCTGTTTTGCTCCCCATTCTATCTCTGGTAAATCCTCTTACCTCCTGTACCTCAAGCCTATGGCCATTTCTTATGTGCACAAATAAATGTTTAAAAGAAAATACATTTGCCTTAATATAAACACCCTAAGATCCATCTATGTTGCTATAAAAGGCTAAATTTCATATATTTAATAGATGATAGAGTATTCCACAGATATCAAAATTATTTTATCAGTTAACTGCCAATTGGCATTCTGGATGGTTCCATGCTTTGGCCATTTTATGAATAATGCTGCTGTGAAAACAAGATGCAGATATCTCTTCAAATTACTGTTTTGGATAAATATTTCAGAGTAATTATTATTATTTTAGATCTTATTGTATTTCTATCTTTAGTCTTTTAAGGGATCTCTTCTACGCATTTATGACATCAGGTCTTACACTCATGTTTTTAATACATTTTGAATTATTTTTGTGAATGGTGTTGATTTTTTTTGCATTTGGCTCTGCAGGTTACCTAACACTATTGTTGGAAGGACTTTCCCTTCTCCATTGTATGGACGTGGCTTTGTTATAAAAAATTAACTGACTAGATATGCCTGGCTTTGTTTCTGTGTTTTCATTGGTCTGTGTGTCTTCTTTTATTCTTATTGTTTTGATTACTATTTTTTTTTTGTACTACAGTTTAAATCAGGAAGCATATCTCCATTTTTTTATTTTTATGCTTTATTCTAGCTCATTTTTTTATATTTCTTCTGTAGAAGAGAAAGAAACCAGCAGCAATGAAGATTGAACTAGAAAATCTATGCAATATTTACTCTCAAGAGTTTTAACTAATGTTTCTCAGAAGTTAATTCACTTTATCCAATTCCACGAAATGCTTAGTCATTTTGTGGTTCCAAACAAAATTTAAAATTTTTTCATCTACTTCCTTGAAAAATGTCATTTGATAAGAATAGTGGCTGGGTGAGTGAGAGGCAAAGTGAGTCCAAAAACTGCAGTCATTACCTTATGACTCAATCCAGGCTAAGAAAACTATGTTACCTTTACCACTTCTCCCTTTAAGACCAAACAAAGCGCCAAGCTCTGCCCAGAACCTATTTTACAGTCATAGTTTCAGTGTTGTGGATCTTCATGGTCCACATCTTCAAAGCCCTTGATTCTCAAGCATCAAGGACATGGGACTACACAAAACCTCCAGTCATATTCTCCATGAGTCAACACCATGTCCTAGAGGTTAGTCAGCAAGCACTATGGTACCTTACCTTCACTGAAGTTGTCATCTGTGCCAGTGCACGTACCACAAAGCCTATTCTTTCCCCCTTTTTGTGCCACTGAAAGGATAGACACCTCTGTAGCTAGACCAGAGTTCATGCCCCTCTTCTTACTCCACCACTTCAGCTAACAATCAAATGCACAATCAAAAGAGTTATAGGGCGATTCAATGAAGTAAGCAATAAACTGGGGAGAATTCTGTGTGGGTAATGGTTGATACAGAGTTATGTTTAAGAAAGATGCTTATAGCAGCTAGATTTTGCACATGTTGTAACATCACCTATGATCTTGATTAGTTCACTTTTATTTGCTCATGGCCTGCTGCATCAGTAAAAATGGGTGACTAATTATGTATTAACTACAGATCATGTTATAATGAAATACATTGGAAAAGGGAAGCTTTTAATAGCAGTCAAAAGGAAATTCTTTTTGCATAACTCATTATTTTCTCCTAAAAATAGCAAAATATTTAAACCTACTGAAACCTACTCATTAATTATTAGACTTCTAACAAGTAACTCATTTTTTTTAAATAAAAAGGCACATTTCTTCTGTAGAAGAGGAAGAAATCAGCAGCAAGGAAGATTAAACTAGAAAATCTATGCAATATTCACTGTCAGGAGTTTTAACTAATGTTTCTCAGAAGTTAATTCACTTTATCCAGTTTCACAACTTTCTCTGCTCAGTAATGCATAGTCTACTATCACAGTTTTCTATAGCTCAATATCTAGTGTTTGCTGTAAATTTCACATTTAAATTTGATTTTTCATGTAGAAACTACCACTTTACCCATTTAATTTAATGGTATCCCTTAAGTAATAGCATTTGAATTCTACCAACTTCTTCAGTCTAATATTTTGAACCCAATTCCTATTTTTTTTCATTTTCTATCTAATCAGTTTCTAAATAATATTCCTTTTTATCATAAAATTGATCAACTCTGAGGTTTTTTACTTTTATTGCATTCTTCACACTTGTATTGTTTTAATTCCTAAGAATTAGCTCAGTATATTTCTCCACCACTCAAAATCCTTCAAGGGTCACTAATTGGTACTGAATCCCATCACATTCCCACAATTTAATGTTGATTCATGTAAATTTATACTTAAATACACTAATCTCATAACTATTTCAATTTAGTTAAAATTGTATTAACTTTTCACTCAGTATATCTTTAATTTCTCAGCTTAATTATGCTAATTTCCTAATTAAACATCTGATACCCTCCAGATCATTCATCTGAGGTTAGGGCCAAACTAACATGACCTATAAAATAATTATAGTTTGAGAGAGAATATGAAAAGAAAAATTGCCATTATAAATCAACTTTAATTTATAATATAAAAAGCTATCATTACAAAAAAGTGTCCATTTGTTCAGTTAAGAAAATTTCTGTCTTTTTATGTCAACCATTCAGTATTTAAATAACTGCCTTAAACTGGGACTTTCCTATGGATTTGAGCTTTGAAGTCAAAATCCATTGTGAAATATTTTCTATTATCATTTACACATGAATAGTAATATCTTGCTTAGGTCAAGTAGAAGCCTGCACCAATAGCATATAAACAGCACATTTATGTGTCTAAGTTAGAGTTTTCTCCAATAAACATTCATGAATTTATTATGCAGTCAAGAAACACATACACTGATATGGTTTGTAATGTTGAATGTATGGGAATATGGGAATATTTTGTAAATATTATGTTTTAATTCTGTGTTTTAAAATAGAAAGACTTCTAAGGGTGTTGTTTTACTTTGTTTTATATAATCAAATACATCTAACTGTGAATTTTATACAATTATATAGCAGGTACTTTTATACTTAACTTTGTTTAGTCGCTGTTCAAAAAGAACAGGTCATATTGAACACAGCAAACTCACTTTACTTTTTTATTATAAGAAATAAAATATATTATCCTAAGTAGGCAAGTATAACTGCTGTGCTTATTTATATTTTTATACTTAAAAAAATAGAGCTTTTTAGTTATCACAAAGATAAAACATCCCAAGGCAAAAAAAGTTTATCAAAGTCCAGTTAATTTTTACCTCCTTTAATTAGAATTTGTTAATATATTTTAATTACAAATGTACATCAATGTATTATGATTTCTCAATTGTCAATGTTTTATAGCTCATATAGACTAAATTTATGCCATTCCATATGCATGTCTACTAATTGGCTCTAATATAACTGTTTAAGAAGTATATTTAAATATGTGTCATATATACTTTATACACATGTTATATAAATGACTTTCAGTCCTATCTAATGAAGTTGCCCAGACTCATCTCATACCAGTGTAAGAAAGAATATGACACTGCATTAGTCAACTAAGGAATTTTTTAATTTATTTCATCAACCTCTTCTGTTCCTGTCATTTATAAAATTAGCACTTATATTTAGTTTTTACAACTTTTGATTTTCAGTTCTTTCTCAAGGACTTTAGCACGTTCATTGCTTTTCTTACCTTTTGCCATGCAGGACTGAGAATTTTATCTTTCCAGCACCTAGCTAATCTTTGAACTATTTTAGCAGCATAGCTGAAATCTGAGCTTGAATTATTCAGATCACTTTTAACACACAACACTGATGCATAGTAATTCATTTTACCAGTGAGAGACAGTCA